TCAGAAATGAGATCTTAATTCATTCAGTTCTCTTTATTCTTTTTATTCATTCCACAAGTCCTTAGTTCATTTCAAAACTTGACCATGGTCTTATCAGAGTCATCAATTAGGGCTTCAGGTTCTTTTATAAAATATATATATATATATATATATATACACACACACACCTCTCTTATGCTTCTGAACACACACATGTGTGATGCATGCACATCCTTGTTTATGGGTACTTTCGCTGTATGTCATGATGTATAAAATCTAAAGTAGAAAATTTCTCAATCACGTTCTTATCATTTAAAGAATCTTGGCTTGGTTTTGAAAGGCAATTTAAAGGGTAATAATGAGATGGTCATGGATAATACTGAGACGTTAGGACCAACTACCTGAGCTAGCCGGAGGCAGGGACCTGAAAATGAGCAAACCCAAAACAAAACTAAACCAGAAACAAAATTATCACTGTCAACAAAATGAAATCCTCTTAGTGGTATTTCAGTTGGGGAAACAAAAGTCACTGTGCATTTGTTTCTTATCCAACACACCCAAGTTGCCAGCAAGCAGAGTTCCCTGGTTAGTTGTATGCCAGACTTCTCATGTTCCAGTGTGCACACAGATCACCTGGGGGTCCCTTCAAATGCAGACTGACTCAGTCAGGGCTGGGCCTGAGATTCTGCATGTCTAATCCACTCCCAGGGGCTGCTGAGCTGCTGGTCCCCAACACACTGCCAGGAGCCCAGCTTGGCTTGTCTATGTCCACGGGCAGCCTGACCTCACTACTGTCATGACATCCGCTCCTCCTTCCTCCCCTTCAACCCTCCATTTCCAGTTAATTCTCCTTAATTAGGGCTGCCAGGCATTTACCCTTTATCTGGCAGTTTCATATGTAAGCTCTTTAGGAAAAGTTAGGGAAAAACACACACACACACACACACACACACTCTCTCTCTCTCTCTCTCTCTCTCTCTCTCTCTCTCTCTCTCTCTCTCTCTCCATTTCCAGTAATGCTGTGATTGCCTGTCAGCTTCTTTAGGGATGGGCCTCACTTTATCCAGATATCCGTGCCTCAAGCTGTGAGAAAATGCCTCCAGAAGATCTCAAGAGAAACTGGACTGTTCAGGGACAGATACTTGCTTTGCCTTGGAAGGGATGGTGTCACAAGCTCACCTGGGCCCATGTAGCTGCTAGCTGTCCCTGTCCTGAGGCTAAGACTGGACTTAGGTGAAATAATTCAATGCAAATATTTTTAAGAATTCAATTTCATAATGTAAAAAGCTACCCTTTTGAGGAATGGGAGAGGTGTGCATTTACAAAAGGATCCTCCTCCTAGAACTAAGCATTGCAAAGCCCCAAATGTCTGTAATTCAGCCTTGATTCAAAGTAAGGTGAGAATAAAGACCACCAGCTTCTGAGCAAGAATCCTCAGTGGACCCAGACACTCTGCAGCCCTGACTGAACAAGTCACCTTATTAGGTAGAGACAGAGGACATGCATGGTGCATCGCTATGTGAGCTGTCATTCACTTTAGATTGGATGTATTTATTTTGTGTTTTATCATCATAAAATTGACAGCCCATCTAAGTTTTTATTAAGTAAATAAGGAATGCATAATTTATTTTAATAGCTCCAAGGACTTTTGACTTTTTAAGGCTATGATTATTTGTCATAGAACACGACTTGTTAAAGTGTTTGCTGCTGGGAACTGTTTCTAAACTGTGTTAGAAGGTTGATTTATGCAGTGACCTTGGGTGCCCATCACCTTCCAGATCTGGATCTGATTAATTTGTACAGTTTAAATAGCTTGGCAAAGAGCCTCAGAAGCAGGCACATAGCTGAAAGCATTCAGTGATATACAAAGGTTATTATTCAAATAAAGTTAGTAAATGTTGCTAACAACTTTACAACATAAAGCAGAATCTCAGTTTTCTTCGTGACACACATTCGGCTCTCCAGGAAGTCTTTCTCCTCCTTGACCCTTTGTTGTTATTGCCTGCTTTCTAGATGTCTATCTCTGTAACAAACTACTCCTCAATTTGAAGCAGCAAAGCTGCCTTACCTCAGAGTTTCTGTTGGGTTTCTAGGCTTGGCTTCCTTGGGTTTTTTTCCTGGTCTAGCGTCTTAAGGCTTCAGTAAAGGTGTTCCCCTGGGCTCTGTCTCATCTGAAAGCTCGATGAGGGAGAACCCTCTTTCAGGTGCAGAATGCTGCTGCTCAGGGGCCATTGGCCAGGGACTTCCCTTCTGTTTCTTGTCACCTTAACCACTCCATGGAGCTGTTTACACCATGACAGCTTTTGACTTCCAGAGTGAAGGTTGAGCAAAAAGGAGGTGATAGGTTATGGTCTTTTTTTAGCCTGTTCTCTGAAGGGGCATGCCATTTCTGTTTGCTGGAAACACGTCCCTGGGTTCAGCCCACACTACAGGGTCTACAAAGATAGGATCTTTGGGCAGGATCTCTGGAGGGCCATGGTAGTCTTTGTACCACACACAGTAAGGGCTGGGTGAGTGTGGGTCAAACCCTCCAGCACAGCCAATGGCTGTCCTTTGCAGTGAGACGTACAGCAGGGTTTCAGGCACTCTGGTCAGAACGTGGCCTGGTGGGTTGTGATCTGGATGAACATCTAGGCTGTAGGCTGAGGACTGTTGGGTTAACATGCATGTACCATTTGTTTATAAAGTGTGAAAAGGTGTTTCTGTTCACTTGTTTTTATTTAATTAACTTCTGTACTTGACCTTAGCCAAACAGAAGTGATTTTTATTAGCTTCTGAAGAGGGAATTGAGATGAGCGGTGGACTGAAGCCAGAGGTCTGCTGTAAGATGACAGTGAGCTTATGCAGAAGGGAGGCTTTGTAATTTTAAGGTTCCTTTGTGCCTTTCAGACCTCCAATCACAAGTCACCACCTCAGGGAGGCCTTTTGTGCCTCTTATTTCAACCAGCCATGACTTCATTCTTAGTTCCCTGTGTCTCCCAGAGCACTCTGAGTCGGTTCCCTGCCTGTTCCCTTGTTTGTTCTCTCTCCCTGTAAGAACTAAGCACCAGGAGAGCAGGGACCGTGTCTGTCTTGGTCACCCATGCATCACCAGGACCCTGCACGGAGCCTAGCAAACAACAGGTCTCAGAAAATACTGAGTAGATGAGGGAATCAAACACACAGGTGTGAAACGATAATGAGGTTGTGACTTCCATGGGAATTGTTGGTATTAAAAAGAAAAAAAACAGCCTCACAATTGTGGAGATGGTTTTGTCCTTATCACTAAGGCCTGGAGGGCCATTTGGCAGTAAGTCATGTCATTTCTCTGGGTCTCAGTTTCCTCACAGGATAAATGAGAATGCTGAAGATCTGGGTCCTCAGTCTGTTTTCTTACCAGATCCTCACGGACAGTGCAAATTCCAGGTACTGCTCTACAAGAGCAGCTCTGGTTTCCCTCCACACCCTTCCCCTCCCCTTCCCTTTCCTCACCTCCCCCCCCCCACCTCCCCCATCCCTAGGACCTTGGGATGCTAGGCACGTGCTGTACCTCTGAGCTATATCCTCAGCCATTGTTTTCGTGTTTACATTAGTCTGCCATGTGAGAGTTTGTCTGAAGAAAGAATTATGTGCCAAAAAAAAAGAGAAATGTTTGAAACTTGCACGGCTTCCATACCCACTAGTGGCCATTTCACTCTGCTAAAGCAGATACCGTGGAAGTTCTGTTGTATGAGGTTAGAGACTAAAAGCCAACAAAGCTTCCCAGCCCAGCAGAACCAACCCGAAGAGTAATGCAGTGATTGCAGTTGAGGGGACCTGAGAGAGAGCCCTTTCTTAGAACATAAAGACTCCTGTCCCAAAGATCTGTCAACCAGTACTAAGTTATGGTTAGATAGAGAAACCAGTCTTGCTGTGCTATTGAACTATAGGATGCCTACAGATAGCGATAATATCCTGTAGGTTTTAAGAGAGAAATGGTAAGTGTATGAGAGGCTGTTGAACACTGTTTGATGTATACATGTGTCAGAGCATCACATGGTACCCACAATGACGTGCAGTTTTTATGTGTCAAAATATTTTAAAAGATCAATAGTTTCTTGAGCCTATATGTGTCCAGACGTTTTAAAAGATAGTTTCTTGAACCTATTGTAAAGCATGGTGACTAGTTCATAGAAATGTGTAATATACTTGCAGTTTGCTAAGAGAGTAGGTCTTAAGTTTTCTCACTGCACCCCCTTGCGAAGTAACTATGTGAGGTGATCACTCTATTAGTCAGCTTGAGTGTGGTGACCATGTCACAGTGTACCTGTATGTCAGATGTCCTCTTGTAAATCTTAAATAGTATGTATTTTTATTTGTCAACTCTACCTGAGTAAAGCAGGGGATAAAAAGAAAAAAGAACATCCTTTCCTTCCCTAGGTACAGCCTCACACTAGGATATTGTCACGATGCTTCCTCTGAAGTGTGAGCACAGGTTCTTCTTCCTTCACATTGACTCACTCATTTCAAGATTTCATTTCTGGCACTGTAATTCCCTCCAGGTAGCCAGAGCTTGGAGTGCCAAGTTTTATAATTAAAATTCTGTTGTATCCCATGAAACAGCACAAATGGTGCCATTAAGCCTGGCAGAAAAGATTCGTAAGCATTCCACCTAGTAATTTAAATATAATGCTTCTGGCAGCATTCGGTTTGGGGTATTTTTAATTCCAATTAGAATGCTATTACTGAGCATTAATATCCTCTATACACTGCTGTGTTGTGGCTCTGAGGTTCATTTTGGCCACCTAGCTTTTACACAAACAGCGTGGGTTGTGGCTGTAGCAGCCCACGTGTTTTCTTCGTGGTCTTTGGGAATCACCAGGTCTCAGGCATAATTAGTATAAATCAAAATCCTCTAGTCTATGACAGGAAAATGGTATGTTTGAGTAGCTGCTTATTAAAATGACCTACTTAATTTAAGAAAAATATTGTATCTACTTGCATGGTAACCCAGATGCCTGCACTGTTGGATTTCATATTATTCCTCTCCCTCTTTTTTTAAGAAAAGGAAAGGGAATGGAAAGGTCCATTCTACTTCATCCAAGGGGCAGACCCACAGTTTGGGCTGATGAAGGCCTGGTCCACTGGAGACTGTGACAACGGTGGTGATGAGTGGGGGCAGGAGATCCGTCTGACTGAGCAAGCTGTTCAAGCCATCAACAAACTGAACCCCAAGCCCAAATTCTTTGTTCTGTGTGGTGACCTCATCCATGCTATGCCAGGTAAGCCAGGGCTTGTCTTTTATGTACAACCTTTTCTACTTCAGCCAGTCATGACCTTGTGTGCAGGGGGAAAAATGATTTCTGTCCAGAGACATCTCTATTCAGTAGCAGCTCATTCCTTCAAGACTGGTACAGTATCATTGAACATCAAAAAATGCACCCTTGTTTTGTATTTTGTATTTAGAGAGAGTTTGACGAGATTAATCACAGTAATTAGGCAGAGCTGCAGTTCTGGAGCCAATTCCCTCTTCCTGTTACCCCCCCACATCACCTTTCTGCATTTCTAAGGACCAACTTGAGCTGCTTCTAGACAACATATCCTTAAATATGATTGGCTTCCTTTTCTCCTCACTTTTTACACTTTTATTTCTCCCACATTCTTGCTTTTTCAGTTGCAAGTTAGAGAAATGCAACTTACACTTATTTCAGTTTTTGTTGTCTTGTTTTGTTTTAAAGGTACACGTTGCCTCATGGGACTGTAGTGTCCAGGGCAGATCTGGGTTCAGGTTCAGCTGGAGTCAGGCTCAGATGTTACCATCAGCATGTGGTCTTTCCATTGCTCATCTCTGCTCCCCACTGGGCTGACTTCATTTGCACAGGTTGTCTCAGTAGGGGGTCTTGGGCGCTCTCAGTTTATATTCTTTCTACAGAAAACACAGCACAAAGTAAGTGCCCTATTTGGGGTGGTCCAGTCAGAGTCCCAGACTACAGTCATCTGGCTCGTTCATACCCCTGAAGCTAGCGTGTGAGGTCAGCTCCACTACAACTGTGCTGTCTGAAGAACTGGATGGTTTCCCTAAAGACAAATGAGATGCTAGGAATGCAAAAATAACAGATGCCTTTGGAACACACCCCTACTATATCTTTCTCTTCCAGACAGGACTAAAGCCCAGCAAGCAAGTATAGGCAAGAAGAAAGTGCTCCTACCCATCAGGAAGGCAGAGCTGGTACCTACAGCCTCTGCCCCTCACCTCTGTCCCTATGGCTGCTCGGTGGAACAGAGATGACCTGAAAACCATGGTAGAAAACACAGCAGTGGCTTTTTTTTTTTTTTTTTGGACGTATCAGAGTTTGATTCAGGGCCTCATACTTGTTGAGGAGGTTCTCTAGGACTTGAGCCACATTCCCAACCCTTGTAATGGCTTTTTTTTCTTTTTTTTTTTTTTTCATTTTTCCCATAGGATCTTGAGTTTTTTACCTGGGTTGGTCTCAGATAGTTACCTTCTTTGTTTCTTTTTCTTTTTTTGTAACTCTCTTTATAAACTAGGAATGAGTCCTGCCATGATTTCTAACTCCTCTGGGGAGCAGAGTTACTCTATAGGAAATGGGAGGGCATTCTTTTACCCTATCAATGCCACTTGTCCGGCAGCCTCTGTGCCCAGAGCAAAGCCCAGAGTGAAGATGGGAGATTGGGAAGGGGGCAGCAAGTTTTGTTTTCTGTAATGTTCAGGTAGCACAAGCAGCAGGGAGAATCCCCAGGCCACCCTTCATTCTCTTGTGCTTGGACTTTACACCAAGTCATGTGTGTGGACATGTCCATGTCATGACTTCCCCAAGTAGAACCCAGTGATGTACCCTGGGGAGACACCTGACCCACTATTGGACCTATACAGAGGTGACAGGAAGAGTAAGAGGGATTAGAATCCCATGGACGAAGACCTCAGTTAGAACCCAGAAGACTGGGCTGCCTGCCCCTGTCTGCCACCAGTGAAATGGGTGAATGTGAATGAGCTCTTTAGCCCAGGGAAGTAGCGAGAATTAAAAACCTCAACAGCCTGGGTTACATGGTTTGAGGACAACAACTTTGTACCTCTGCAGGGGAGGTGACCATCTTGGCAGCTTTGTCCAGATCCAGAGCAGAAGCACACTTGTAAGGACAATCCTCTTTCTTTCTTTCTTTCTTTCTTTTTTTTTTTTTCCAGTACTGGAGATTGAACAATTGAACCCAGGGCCTCACAAATGCTAGGCAAGCACACTAACTCTTGAGTTGCACCCCAGTCCTTGTGTATTTTTTTAAATTTGTTTTACTTATTTTTTTATTGTTGTGCTGAGGGTATATTGTGACATTTACAAAAGTTCTTACAATATATCAGATATATCATAGTTGAACTCACCCCCTCTATCAGTCTCCTTTATCCCCCCTCGCCCCATTCCTGGAATAGTTTCAACAGGTCTCATTTTTCCATTTACATACTGTGTACACAGTATTTGCACTATATTCACCTTTCTTATCTTTTCCCCACCTCCTCCCCTCTGCCCCTGCCTCCAACTGGTCCCCAGCCTCCCATACAGGACCTGTTCTGCCCTCCTGTTCTCAGATTTTGTAAAAACAAAATGACGCTTCTATTTGTTTAAGATAGCTATACAGGAAGTTTCCATGTGGCATTTCCATGTATGTATGTATTATAACTTGAATTGGTTCATCTCTGTTTTCCTCCTTTCTATCTTAGTCCCAATCTTACAGTGATTTCAACAGGTTTAAAAATTCTACATTCATTCTTTTTTTATTAGAACATTTTTTATTAGGATATAGTCGTAATGGGGGGAATTCATGGCAACAATTCCGACCAGGCTTATATTGTGCATTTGTTAGATCACTCCATCATTTCCCCCCATCAGCCTCCTCCCCTCTTGTATGGGAAGTATATTCACCTTCTTAACTTCCTTATTTTACCCTCCCTCTCTTGTATGTGACCTACCCTTAGCGTGACCTGTTTTTCATAATATTACTTGTTTTTGTATTGGGTCTATATTCCACATGAGAGAAAACGTGGACTTTGGCTTTCTGACCTGGCTAACATCATTTAAGATGATGTTCTCCAGTCCCATCCATTTACCTGTTTATTTTTGAGACAAGATAAGTTCTTCCTAACTTTGCCCATGCTGGCCTTGAACTCTTGATCCTCCTACCTTCAGCTCCCAAGTAGCTTGGCTAATAGGTGGGCACCACCACGCCCAGCTGCTCAGTTTGTTTTGTAAAGAAGTAAAACGTTAGCTGCTCATAAACTTGACCATCCTTGGTGACTCGTGACCAAGGGTTCACAAGGGCTGAGGTCGTACAATATGGAAGTGACTTAGGGGCCAACAGATTTGGAGTCGTAGAGGACCGAGCGTCCTCAGGTAAACTGAGGCAATATGCTAGTTGGCCAAGCAGTTTCTGCTGCCTCCCAAAGGTGTAACTAGCAATAAGCCAGAGTCACACAGTGGACTAACTTCTGCTGCTGTTGGACCCTTGATCCTAAGATTCCAAATTGTAACATTTTTCTTCCCGGTGGTTTCTTTTCTCTAAAAGCAGGATATTGTGAGGCTCACTGGAGTTATATAACATGTTCTTGTAGATGTTTACCGACTTGTTCTGAATTATGTTAATGCATGCAGTCATGTTTCAAAATCAGATTTAAAATAAAAGCTTTCCACACAGTTAACACTACTTCATAAGAGGAATATACTGAGCATAAGTAAATTAAAGGTACAGTTTTTATGATCAGTTCTACCAGTTGGTCAAAAGACCTTGTCAGTATGAGCCAGCAAACTACTGAATGTGTATTTTATATTCAGTGCAACCAGATCAGAATTCATAATCACCTCTGAAGACTGGACTTGACGGACCAGTGAGAGAACTGAAACTGTTTTGAATATTGTGGCCTGAGATTAAACAACATTTTTAAACTAGTTACTGTTTTCTAATATGCCTCCCTGTCATTTAGCTCAATGCAGGGGCAGACACTAGAAAAGTAATTATTTCCTTTGACTGCTTAGCACATTGTTAATTATCAAATGTATGTATCAATAGGCAAATAAGATCAGAAAGCATATTTTTAATTCTACCGTAAATAATATTTTGGGTCAAGTAGATATTGGTTCAAAATGAAGCAAAAGAGTTTTCAGAATAATGTTTTTTAATGAAAGTAATAATAATGCTTTTCCATTATAAATATCCATCATCATATTCATTCATCCACAAATAATTCATTGTTGGCACAGTAAGTGCCAACAACTGCAGTGCAAGATGCTGTGGTTATAGCAGTAGAAATGAGAGACCAGGTCCTTTGGTGGAGGTTAGAGTTGGCAGGAGGAGGCACAAAAACATGGCTGGTGAGAGGAGTCATTGGTGCCAAGGTACATGGGGCCAAGTCTAAAAATTCGAGCTTCTTTGTTTTGGACAAAGTCCATTTTGTTTTTAAATACATTTTCATTCCACACACATCTTTGCGGTTTTATAGGTATTTTCTTATGTTACAAAGCTTCTCTATGGGATAAGCCATATTAAGAGTGGCAAATGAAGATTTGCACAAATATAGAGACCATTGATTTTCAATCCTTCATTCTTAAGAATGGGGTTACTTACATTGGCTTTACCGATGTTGAGACATCGATCCACTGGGAGTGTCCCAGGAGCCTTGTTAGATTCTAGCAACGTGGAGCTGACAAAATGGAATGTGATGGTACAATTAGGGTGCAAGAGATTCCCATGAGCCTTTGGGCATTTGTAACTAACGCATGTGTGTCCATTCTGGTTTGTTAAAAATGGCCATAACCAAACTGTACTGGCAATTCCTTTGCTGTGAATCTCCATTGCGAGTTCTTTCTGCATTCCCTTCTCTTGAACAACTGCAATATGACTTAGTTTCCAGTGATGACTTAGACTGAGGACCTCCTCTGTTCTGTAATGGGGGGGCGAGCCTTCATTTGCATGATTCAGTAGATGGGTATTCATTTCCTGTAGCTGCTGTTGTACTTAAAACAACACACACTCACTCTCAACATTTCTGGAGGTCATAAGTACAATGTGAATCTGCAGGGCTGTGGTCCTTCAGAGACGCTGGCATCAAGAGGCTGCCTGCATTTCTTGGCTTGTGGTCTCTTCCATCTTCAAAGCCAGCAGCATTGTATCTTCTCTCCTCTTTGACTGTCCCACTTCCCTCTCATACAGACCCTTGTCATTATACTGGGCCCCTCTGACAACCCAGGGTAATCTCTCTTTCTCAATGTCCTTAACT